CTTGGGTACACTCTCATGTCAGAAGGTGTCGGCGCTTACCTGGGTGGATGATGTCACTGCACATCATGTTTGGGCATGGTGAATAAACACGTAGGTCAGAGCGCTGTTAAATGGTGGAGGTCACTTGGTCCCCCATATCTGAGAGCTCTGATTTATTACCACAACAAAGCGAGCGCTAGTGTGTGGCTGAGTGGGGAGGCAGCCAGGGAGTTTGAATGAGTGAGTATACCTTGCTGGGGGGTGAGCTTTCAGAAGGCATTCTTACTATGTCCTGAGTGGGCAAAGTGACAGTGTCTCCTTAATCTCACAACCTGGCGAAGAACTGGTATCCAATATTGATCTCCAACTCTGATCTCCAACACCGATCTTCAAAACTGATCTCCAACATTGATCCCCGACACCAATCTCCAACACCGAACTTTAACTCTGGTCTCCATCACTGATTCCCAACCCTGGTCTCCATCACTGATTCCAAACCCTGGTCTCCATCACTGATTCCCAACCCTTGTCTCCATCACTGATTCCCAACCCTGGTCTCCATCACTGATTCCCAACCCTGGTCTCCATCACTGATTCCCAACACCTGTCGTCTCCACTAATTATTCCCAACCCTTGTCTCCATCACTGATTCCCAACCCTGGTTTCCATCACTGATTCCCAACCCTGGTCTCCATCACTGATTCCCAACCCTGGTCTCCATCACTGATTCCCAACCCTGGTCTCCATCACTGATTCCCAACCCTGGTCTCCATCACTGATTCCCAACCCTGGTCTCCATCACTGATTCCCAACCCTGGTCTCCATCACTGATTCCCAACCCTGGTCTCCATCACTGATTCCCAACCCTGGTCTCCATCACTGATTCCCAACCCTGGTCTCCATCACTGATTCCCAACCCTGGTCTCCATCACTGATTCCCAACCCTGGTCTCCATCACTGATTCCCAACACTGGTCTCCATCACTGATCCCCAATTCTGGTCTGCAACACTGATTCCCCCCAACTCTGGTCTCCATCACTGATCCCCAACACTGATATCTAGCACTGTGTTAGATTGATGGCGGCTCTTAATTTGAATAAACCTCTTATTGATCTTCCGTATAATGTGGCAATGTAATACATGGGATATGAACAAGCCATTTATTCCATTTATTTAAATACATTAATTTGTTATGTTTTTTTTTCTTTCCTGGCAGAACTGATGAAATTAAAGCGTACAGGAAGTGGCCGATCGAAAAAATCGTCAGGAGAGAAAGAAAAGAAAGGGGAAGCATTAATCTCTCGGCAGGCTCCTGGGATGTGTTTCGACTTCCTTCCTGTGGTATGATGTGTGAAGAAATTAGTGATGTTTCCCATAGCAACCAATCAAATACTTGATTATGTAATATGATTTGATGCCATGGACAAAGATGTCTGCTCAGTGTCCTTGCTGGGATACAGATCTAGGATGCCAGTGCTGCGAAGCTGAACTGACTGCATCATTTCTACATTGCTACAGAGGCCCCAGCTGCCCCATGTTTGTATTCATTAGGTCCTATATCTTGCTCTAAACAAGAGCTTGTCATGAAAAGCCTCTTGTTTACAGAGCTCAGTAGCTCAAGATGATATCTGACCACACAAGTGAATGATTCATCCCAGTGACCCAGTTGGCAGGTCTGAATGCAAGCAGCTTTTGCTGTGCTGTTTTTGTTTCTAGCTGCCCTATAGTGCTCTGTGTATCACTTGTCCTTTATTAAATGTTCAGATGTGAAACAAAGATTGTACAGATATAGTCAAAATGGATATAAAATATCAAAGTTTCAAAAATGATAAACTAAATAAAAATATAAAATTTACCCAAAATATATGTATGTGTATCTAGTTCGAGTGCAGCTTCCTCTGTCTGGGTTCTTGTGGGTACACTGTTCTCCCAGTCATCCAGAGGAAGTATATGTCGCCCAATCACCCTAAAGAAGTTGGGACTTGCTCACACAGTCACGTTGTAGCACACCCCTCCAGCATCAAACCTTGTGTGCTTAGTATTTCCAAGGGTGATTTATAAGGAAACCTACAAAACCAAACCAAAGGATTTTCTGCACAAATGGTGCACTTTGGTTTTGTAGTCACCCAATGATCTAACTGACTTTAGACAGAGCTGAGAGGAGGATAAAGAGGCTAGGATTGAATAGAGGGGATAGACCAAGAACATATGAAAAGAGAGTGAAGGGGGCCAGGGGATGATGTCATCAGTGTGATGATGTAACCTTTGACTCTTCTGGGGACACCAAGCATGAAAGCAGTTTCACATGGCAATTCCTAACCTTCGCATTCATGTGGCTCCGCAGCTGGTGTTCCTACCACCAATAAGTTGCAATTGGTGAGGGTGCTCTCTGCACACCTTTCAGCAGTCCCGGCCAGTAGAGAAGAGGTGCTTGCAGTAACTCCCACGGATGGCACCGTGTAATGCACAAAGTAGAAAAAGTAGGTTACCAGCACTCAAAGTAATTTCAAATACTTTGAGTGCTGGGGCCACGCAGGGTCCCTTCCTCAGGGCAAAAGATCACATCTTTTGCCCTGAGGAAGGGACCCTGCGTGGCCCCAGCACTCAAAGTATTTGAAATTACTTTGAGTGCTGGTAACCTACTTTTTCTACTTTTTCCTACCACCAATAAGGCAATTTGCAGCAGAGGGGTGGACTAACGCATTATGGAATGCCATGATGAAAAACAGAAGCTCTGGGCAGGTAGCCTACATATGCATTTCTAAGGTTCAAATCCATGTTTGACACAAATACATATTTAATGCTACAACCAAATCTGTTTTGATTGGCATCATGGAGTGATGGGTAGAGAACAATAAAAAGATTTTGTGTTCTATTCTAGGACTCAAATATTTACCTCGCTGGCACAGAAGAAGGTCACATACACAAGTGTTCCTGCTCCTACAATGAACAGTTTCTGGATACCTACAAGGCCCATAAGGTGAGATTTCTTGTTACTACATCCTGGATGTAGGATCACCTCCAGCCTCATGTCCTGTAATTCAGAACTTAATGACTTGGATACAGTCTTTCTACATGAAGTTGTCATGAGACTATAGTACAAATGTCCAGTAAAAACCGAGTAAGCACGCATGTCCAGGGAAAAAGTATACACATGTCCTTTTCATTGCTGCTTATTACATCAGAATTTACAAGTGTTACTGCCGAAGAGTAAAAGATCTTAAATGTAATGGAAAAGTTGTCACCATATAAAGCATTTTGAGAGCCAAATACGTATAAAGCTCACCTTGCTACCACTCCCAGCAGTGGCTCAGCTTCCCTTCCTAACAATATTTCTTAAATGGCTTTTAGATTCACTTATAGATTCCCACACTTATTCTTCATTCCACTATTACTTACATTGTCTTGTATTGCTTCTAGAGACTCATAAATTAATATATTCTTCTGTTCTAGGATCCCCTATCTCTTCCAGGTTCCTTTACTTCTATTAGATTCTGATATTTTAGGGATCCCCTATCTTTTCTGGATTCCTGTATTAATAATAGATTCCTTTATTTTAGGATCTCTTATCTTTTCCACATTCCTATATTATTTCTGATTCCTATATCCTAGGTACCCCTATCTTTTCCAGATTCCTATATTCTTAGTTCTCCTATCTTTTCCAGATTCCAGTATTATTAATAGATTGCTATATTATAGGTACCCCTATCACTTCCAGATTCCTTTATTATTAATAGATTCTTATGGTCTAGGTTCCCCCTATTTCTTGCACATTCCAGTATTATTAAATATTAATACTGTGTCACTATTACTTACATTGTCTTGTATTGCTTCTATAGTCCCAGAATGTTAATGGATACCTATGACGTAGGGTCCCCTATTTCTTTCAGATTCCTTTATTCTAGGTTCTCCTATCTCTTTCAGATTCCTGTATCATTCATAGATTTATATAGTCTAGGGCCCCCTATTTCTTCCCTATCCTTTATTATTAATATATTCCTATAGTGTAGGATCCTCTATCTATTACAGATTATTTTGATTCTATTTGACTCCTATATTCTTGCTTCCACTATCTCTTCTAGATTTCTGTATTAATAATAGATTCCCTTAGTCTAGGGTCCCCTATCTCCTCCAGATTCCTGTAATATTAATAGATTCCTATAGTCTAGGGTCCCCTATCTCCTCCAGATCACAGTATTATTAATAGATTCCTATATTCTAGGTCCCCAATCTCTTCCAGATTCCTGTATTATTAATAGATTCTTACAGTCTAGGTCCCCAATCTCTTCCAGATCACAGTATTATTAATAGATTCCTATATTCTAGGTCCCCAATCTCTTCCAGATTCCTGTATTATTAATAGATTCTTACAGTCTAGGTCCCCAATCTCTTCCAGATCACAGTATTATTAATAGATTCTTATAGTCTGGGTCCCCTATTTCTTCCAGGTTCCTGTATTAATAATAGATTCCATTAGTCTAGGGTTCCCTATTTCTTCCAGATCACAGTATTATTAATAGATTCCTATATTCTAGGTCCCCAATCTCTTCCAGATTCCTGTATTATTAATAGATTCTTACAGTCTGGGTCCCCTATTTCTTCCAGGTTCCTGTATTATTAATAGATTCCTATGTTCTAGGGTCCCCTATCTCTTCCAGATTCCTGTATTAATAATAGATTCCTATATTCTAGGTTCCCTATCTCTTCCAGATTCCTATATTATTAATAGATTCTTATAGTCTGGGTCCCGTATCTCTTCCAGATTCCTGTACTGAATGAGACATCTTACAGTCTGATACCAAATCACTTACTAATGTTTCTATCTATATCATTAAAAAATGACACATGAGTTTGATGATGCCATTATGGAGAAAGGCAAGGCCCTGTTCTTAGAAAATTGGATTTTCCTTCCACTAATTGAGAACGATTTATAGGTTGTCTGTCTTCTACAAGGCTGATTTCATTTCAAAAGTTATTTGTGAGTCAGTTTAACCCATAAGAAGGGGGGAAGTGTGCTATGAGGCTTTTTTTGTTTCCCTCATGATTGGCACACATTGTTACCCTACATGTAAACATACCTATTCAGCGGTTATACAACTGTAATGAAAATGATTCAACCCCCATTGCAAATCAGGTTCATTGGCAAAATGTACTGACTTTCAGTTGTTTGCAATGAAGAAATCAAACAAAAGCAATGGAAATAGGTCAACACAGCGACTGTTTCAAGTGGTTTCCACAAATTCAACTGAAAATGTAACTTTTAATGACTTCTGCAGTCACAAAATGACTCAACCCCTTCATGGGAAGCATCTTTAGTACATAGTAGAGCTCACTTTTGCAAACGAGATGCACAGCCAGACACCAGCTTCTGGCAATGTTCCTAAAGAATCTTAGCCCATTCCTCATGAGCAATGGCCTCCAGTTCACTAATATTCTTGGGTTTGCGTGCTGCAACCGCCTTCTTCAAATGCCACTAGAGATTTTCTATGGGGTCCAAGTCAGGTGACTGTGATGGCCACTGTAGAATCTTCCAGGACTTCTTCTGCAGCCAGGCCTTGGTGGAATTTGAGGTATGCTTGGGATCATTGTCCTGTTGGAAGGTCCAAGGATTTCCTGATTCTTCATTGAATCCATCTTGCATTCCGCATGCTGCAGGTTCCCAGTGCCAGAGGATGCAAAGCAGCCCCAGAGCATTACCGAGCCACCAACTGCTTAACTGTAGGCAGATTGGTCTTTTCAGTGTATGCTTCATTCTTCTTCCTGCAGACATACCGCTGAGCCATAACGCTGAAAAGATCCAGTTTTGTTTCATCGCTCCACAGAACAGAATCCTAGAGGGCCCTTGTGCAGCTTCACTTTGTACACAAATTTTTTTTATTTTTAAAAATCTTTTTTTTTTCTTTTTTTTTCGAGCCCGTGGAACGTGCATCAAAAACAAACCCCTGTGAACAAAAAAAGTGAATCGTGAAATCACAACACACGTAAAAAAGTGCACAGTGGGTGCTGGGTCCTTCAATAAAGAAGCAAGCACAATTTCCCGACCGCCCGGGGCGCAAGGCTCCTGCCAGGGGTTGAGACGACTATGGTCCACCAACCCGAAGACCAGTGGACCCCGATCCTTCGGACCTGCCGAAAACAGGTCCCACAAGTACTAGGTTGGGGGGATCTCCAGAAGAGAAACCCCCCAGAGGCGGGAGAAGGCAGAGAACCCTTTATAAGGGCACAGAATCTCCTCCCCAACGTCAGGAAAAGGCCCCGAAGGTACCTGCACCCTCAGTCTCTGTGGGTCAAATTTCAATCAAAAATGTGCCAATTGTGCATTAAGTGCAATAAATAAATCTAAAGTGCCAGTGCACCTCGCTGACAGGCCTTAGGGGCCGGAGTGCAAAAATATTGCCCCGGACTAGCCATAAGGCCAAGAGGCGTTGTGCAGAGAAATGCAATAGTGCCGTGTCCATGTGCACAGTGAATCACTTGTGGGGTCCCACACACTAGTAATTTTCTGAGCACCCCTGGGACACCACCCCCAGGGGGCACAGCACCGCGGGCTCTGCCGCCCCTTAACCCTCCAGCCAGACCAAGCAAGCACCCATTCCCATCAGAAGGGAGGCACCTTCAGAGATCCCTCCGCCGGAGCCCACCCATTGCAAAGGGTCGAAACCTCATCCAGCACCTACCAATTACGCCAGGAATTACTAAGCCGCCATCTACCCTCTCTCTTAAGGCGACGGCGGCCGTTCTGTTCCCGACAACTGATAAGAACAGATACTACACTTGATCTTAGCCAAATGGTGCATCTGCCACTGTTACTAGTTATCAATACAGAGCAAGAGCAGGGCAGGGAAGGGCAAAGGTAGAGACCGTGGCAGGGCATCTCACTTTTGGAGATGCAAGACATAATATCTAAGCTCCTGGGCTGACCCATATCTCAAGACTATACTGCCCAGATCTATTCATCTGTTATAAGCGTATGTGTATTCAGTTTATGACTGTAGCCAATTGCTTACAATAATACGAACAAACAATACTGTCTGCATGTCTAAATGTCTCTTTATATTTCAGGGTCCGGTCTATAAGCTGGTATGGTCTCCCTTCTGCCCAGACGTGTTCCTCAGTTGCTCAGCAGATTGGTGTATACACTTATGGCGTCAGGACATCCTGAAACCCATCCTAACGTTCTCAGCCACTACAAACGCTGTGCATGACATCATGTGGTCTCCAACCTCACCGCTGGTGTTTGGAGCAGTGAATGAGGATAGGGTGGAGATCTGGGATTTGGATGTCAGCATGTGAGTCATCAATTAATAATTGTTTAGGACATGTTCTTTTAAAGATTGTTTTTTTAGAGTTTAAATAATGTAAATAATTTGCATACATAACAATCCAGAAAACAGCATACAATGCAAGTCTCCCCCCACATCACACGCCAAATACAAGCCCCCATGTGAAAACAGTGTAAATGTAGAGCTGACTTCCAACCTGCAAGCCACCATATGTAGAGTGAGGCAGCCGATTGTTCGTTTACAAGTGAACTCAGCGATGCCGCCGGGATCACATGTAAATAGTCTGCAGCCTCCCCTCCCCCCAGCACTTACCTCTCTCCTCGCTGGCTCCGTCCCCCGGGCTGCGCCGCCGAGTCTGTCTCCTCACTGCAGGGAGCAGAGCGGAAGGGTTAAAAGTAACCCGGCCGCTCCGTGTAGACAGTGAGGGGAGAGCTGTGCTCTTCCTTTCTCACCTGTCACAGGAGTTCCAGCACAGTGCTGTGCTAGAACTCCTATATTGGAGGTGACAGGGTCAATAAAGAGAACCTGTCACCTCCAATCGCTATCACACAGGGGATTGTTTTCTCCTGTGTGATAGCAATAAAGTTAGGTGGAAAAAAACAATTGATTAAAAAATTAAATAAAAATTAAAAACAAATATGAAATAATTAAATAAAAAGGTGATTAAAAAGTAAAAAACAATAAGAAACAAATTATTAAAAAATAAGAAAATAATTATAAAAAATAAACAATAATAAGATTTAAAAAATTATAAAAAAGTAAATAAGGTAAATAAAAATCTAAAAAAAAATGACATTGGCGTATTGCGGAACCTTGTCTTGGGGCGGCAGGGAGATTAAATCCGGTCCTGGTTGTATAGGGAATTTCCTATTTATTTATAGCCCGCTTTTGCTACCAGCTCTTCAGTCATATTTCTTGTATATTTTCTCTATTGTCCATCGAGGGACACAGCTCTGGATAATTTGAGACATAGGGTTATGGCGCTGCCTCTGGGAGAAAATCCATTTCTCCTAGAGGCAGCGGCATAACCCTATATGTCTCGAATTATCCAGAGTTGTGTCCCTCAATGGACTCTGAGAAAAGGATTTTACTGTAAGAACAAACTCCTATTTTTAATTCACACGACAGGTTCTCTTAAGCATGAAATAGTGACTTTACACAGTGACAGCCTCTCTCTATACACATGTGATTATTGTCCCCCAACTTTTTGTTTTGTACAGATTAGACCCGATCATTGTGAGTTCTGCCAAACCGGGAGTGAGACTCACAACGCTGCTATTTGCAAAGAACACAAACTGCGTCCTGATAGGTGACAGCAATGGACAAGTTAGTGTGTACACGCTTAGAAATGTGTCAAGTTTGGATACACCAAAGGTGAGATTGTTTTTTTGATTATTTAAAGCTAAACTCCGGCCTCCCCTCCAGTCTTTCACGGTTGTAGCGGCTCCTCTCCTGGACTGAAATATCTTCCTCTGATGTCACTGCACGCTGCGAGCTTCTCACAATGTGCATTAGAAGCTGCAGCAAGTCACATAGAGCTCCGCCTCAATTCCTGGCTGGAGGATGTCCAGCCGTTTTTTCCCCAGCCTGACTCTCTCGGGCCCCGCCCCTTTCATTGATTGGATTTCTGTTCTTTCAATCATGGAGGCTCAGTATTATTACTTCGGATGGTCTGCATGCAATCTGAAGATGTTTCGGAGACACAAAGGTGTCACCTTGAGTAAAGGGACTTTCGTGTCTCAGAAATGTAACTGGTGGTATGTCCAATTTTTGTAATTGAAATTTTTGCATCCATAATCGCGGCAACTAAATAGAATTTTTATTCTTGGAGTTTTTTCCTTATGGATATCACAGCATTACCTGGCCGAGGACCCTCCACCAAGCAAGGCATTATAGGTGTGGGACAGATGGTATATGAGGTTTTTATTGCTTTCTGAGCCCCTGCTAAGCAAAGTCACCCTCTCTATTGGTCCTGGTGACTAGGCATGCACCCATACCGTTTTTTTCCGGTATCAAGTACGAGCACCGATATTGTTTTCTCTGTACTCGCCAATACCGATGTCATGTGCCCGATTATCAGGAAGTCGGGCGGCAAATCATGACCTGTCGCCCGCTTCCTGATTGCCTGGGAAGCCGGTGTTCTATCGAAAGAACACCGGATTCATTTGCTGAGGCTGCCTGGCTTCCTGACCAATCAGGAAGCCGGGCGGCGGGTCATGAGGTGCTCCGATAAGATGAAATGCTCCCATACTTTCCAGCGGTACTGAAACTTCCAGATCTCCCTATGACCGGCAGTGCCGAGGGAGCATGGAGCCGGATTCCTTTCCAATCAGGAAGCCGGGTGGCACGTAATGAACCGGCTTTCTGATCGGATAGTAAGCCGGCTTCACTTGTTTCTAGGCAGCCTGGCTTCCTGACCAATCAGGAAGCCGGGAGACGTGTTATTACGGGCCGGCCAGTTTCCTGCTTGGGAAGAAATCCGGCTCCATGTTCCCTCGGCACTGCTGGTCAGAGGGAGATCTCCCTCTGCCCGGAAGTTCCAGTATCGGAGGTAATCGCCCAAATATTCGGTATCAGCACCAATACCAATACTAGTATCGGTGCATCCTTACTGGTGACCATTGTCAAGAGAGAGATAATACAACATTTTTCGTTGTTACCACAACAGTAATAGAAAGGAAATCATCTTATGGTGACGGTGACCCTGGGTGACAGCTATTTCCTTCACTTCCTGTAGTGTGCGTGGTACAGGAAGTAAGGTCATTTATGTGTGGCAATTAAATTTTTTAATTTTTTGGACCAAATCAAGTCTATCAGCTTATCCAGAAATATATTGATGGTTCCTTAGGCCCAGTTCACACCTGGGCGTTTTGTAGCGCGTTCCTGCGCTCTGCAAAACGCTCAAACACCGAAATCCCATTATTTCCTATGGGTATGGTTCACACCTGAGCGTATTACAGGCCGTATGAACGCGCTACAAAACGTCCTTCGCGTGTTTCCATTGGGATACAGCCAAGTAGCCCTCGGAAACGCACGTTTGTCGCACGTTTCTTTTACCGCGAATCGCGCGACTAACGCGCATATTCAATACGCCTAGGTGTGAACTCAGCCTCACTGACTCTATGTAGCCTGTGCTAAATGTCAATGAACTGAGTTTAAATTCCAATCAATTAAACAAAGAAATAATGTCTTGATCGATTTTTCAATTGATATTAAAGATCTCTTGTATGTGGATTGTGTATAGAATAAATGGTGGGCATCAGCTGTGATCTGCCCCAGAATAGATCCAGAAACCGAACAGCAGTTACATCTATTCGGCGAACATAATGCCGAGGTTGAATGTATCCATTAAGCCAGCGAAGGGTTTGTTTAAACACAACGCAGGCCTCATAAATTCCTGGCATGCTCATCCATCCCTGTAAATATTTTATTTCCTTTTGTTTTATGGCAGACGTCACTTTTTATGACAGCTGTCCGAGTCCCTTCCATCGTCCCGTCAAACGTATGGAGAAATCTCCCGGCTCTGTCCTATAAATCAGTCCGCCGGCCCATAACGAGGGCATCTTTCTGCTTTCTTACAGGTGAACGCTTTATACGATGTCATTGGAGCGACTCTGGCTAGCCAACTGTAATTTATTGGGAGGTATCGGCCCTAACGAGCAGATTAGGTGACATCACAGAACGGCAAAAAGACAATAAAATCAGTTTGTATATAAAACAGGTGTCGCGTTTACATTTATTTCTAGATTTTTATTTTTCCATCTCAATATGTTTTATTGGATTTTCAAGGTATAAGACATACAGACGTTGTCAAGTAACAGTTGTAAAAGGAACAACGTGTCGCCGGCATATAATTTTTTTTTGGTAATACCGTGTTTCCCCGAAAATAAGACACTGTCTTATATTTTTTTGGCTCAAAAAAACCACACTAGGTCTTATTTTTGGGGTAGGTTTTTTTTTTAAATGTACAACAATCCAAAGTTAGTCCAAAATGGCAAAGTTAAGAATAGGGTGATCAGGGCAATCAGGGGTGCCATAGCTTTCCAAGAGCAATATGGTAACCAGAATGAGCGAAGCGCGCTTTCACTATTGATTCCTCACAGGTGGAGTGCATTTGGTATCACTCCGCCTGTGACAGAAGTCGGCGCTATAGAGGAAGCATCGGCTTATGCGACTCCGCTCCCTGCGCTACCGCCTCGCTTCCTCTAGCGCTGGCTTCGTTGGCACCGCTGATTCTCTTCCGCCTCCCCGCGGCTCTTCAAGTTCCCCCTTATGCCACCACCGGCTTTGGGAATGGTCACAACTAGGTCTTATTTTCTGGGTAGGTGTTATTTTCTGGGAAACAGGGTATGTGGCTTTCATTGAAGAAAGGAATCCCTGTCGATTACTGGTAGAGCCAACAAATAGGTCTGCAGAGGTAAGAGTGCGGTTTGTGTTATGGCAAGACTAACCAGCCAGGGGGGAGGGAAAAGAGGAAATGAAGAGTAACTGGAGAAAGAGAGTAAGGGCAGTGGGAGGTAGAGAGAAGAGAGAAGGAATACCCGGGTGCCGCGGTGTATTGGGTAGCTAGCGAATAAGGTTATGTGTCACCAGGGGCGTCCCGAGGCTGGGTGACACCCGGAGCGGTTACCGGGTGTCGCCCCGCTGAGACGTCACCGCGCGCGCGATGACGTAATCGCGCGCATCACTCTTCTGATACCTGCCGGCAGCCATCTTGGTGATGGACGCCGGCAGAGAGAGGAGGGGGACAGTCACCCGGCGGGATAAGGTATGCTGCCGGGTCCCCTCCTCTCTCCTGATACTGGACATGGACCGAACGCCTGACTTTTCAGAGGGGGGTGACACCAAAATGACTGTTAGTCATTTTGGTGTCACCCCTCCAATGGTGTCACCCGGGTGCGGGCCGCACCCCCCTTGTGACGCCACTGCGTGTCACTGGGTCACTGGGTCAAGGGTGGATAAGAAGATGGAAGACCATGGGTCCCATATTTTATGACATTTCCGGCTCGTGTCAGTTAGAATGCAGGGGTTATTGAAATGTCACATCTGTAATTTCATTAGGTTCTATTGGCCACAGCACTGTGCGATACAATGCATCTGGTGTGAACGTCCCTTAAAGTGAATTTACATCTTTATTGTCTATTGAGGGACACGGGAATTCTTAGACTGCTGGGTTATACTGCCACATAACTTTCTGCTGCATATATCTACCACAGCACTGGGACTATACAATCATCGTCAGCCAGCATATCAATCCACCGAGCTGACAGTGACTGTATAGTTCCCGCACAGACATTACTTGGCGGGACTAAGGGTCAGGTAAGTCACCGGTGATCTCTTCTTCACACCACTGACCACCAGTGTAAGGGAACACTTTACCACTGACCACCAGTGTAAGGGAGCACTTTACCATTGACCACCAGTGTAAGGGAGCACTTTACAACTGACCACCAGTGTAGGGAACACTTTACCACTGAGCCCCAGTGTAGGGAACACTTTACCACTGAGCCCCAGTGTAGGGAACACTTTACCACTGAGCCCCAGTGTAGGGAACACTTTACCATTGCCCACCAGTGTAGGGAACACTTTACCACTGAGCCCCAGTGTAAGAAATCACTTTTTCCCCGATGTGGGTAGTCGGGATCTCTGAGTTTAGTGATGCCATTTGATCATCAGCCTGTAAAGTTTGTCTGGGAAATCCAAATGTTTGTACAACTCAGCCGGCGATTTTATTTCCGATAAGGTCGGTTATCTGAGAAAAAGCCATAAAAGCGCAAATCCCTTTACAACAGGTAATGATATTTGTGTATGACAAGATAAAGCCATCGTTGCAGCAAAAATGATATATTATATCCCACAACCAAACAATAGTGCTAGACGGGTTTTTGTTTTTTTTAAGTGTTTTTAAAAATAATTTTTAATATTTTCAATTCTACCGCTAAAGTTAAAATAATACCCGCTGATCTTGTGGTATAGGACCTTGTTCAGGCATTCCCTGTTATGGGGTGACAACTGTGCTCCTGTGTTGTCACCCTGCCACCTATGACCCTGGTGGAGACTTCGACAGCCATGCTGAGACACATTACGCAGTCCATTGTGGTTATTATCATGGAACTGGTTCGGTGACGTGCAGCTGACGTTGGTTAGAGTGTAGACAGAAAGTGGCTGAAAGATGCTGGAGGAGATCAGAAGCAATGAGATGGAAAACGAAAAAAGGTCACGCACTGACCAATGAGTACTCGCCATTTGCTAGCAAATTTAAAATACAGGGTGCAGGGCTGGGCTGCCGCATACGGGTGTAATGATAGTGCACCAGCGTAGGGGAAGGAGCGTTCACCCAAAGGTAAGTATAGAGGGGGGGGGGGCAGGGGGGAGGGGGTCCCCCCTGTTCCCGTCTGGCTTGGGGTGTCCTTGTTTATGGGAGCAGCTTCTTCAAGAGCGTCCTGATAATCTTGAAGAACAGATTACTTTAAACTAGGGATGCACCGATACCACTTTTTTAAGACCGAGTACGAGTACCGATACTTTTGATCAAGTACTCGCAGATACCAATTACCGATACTTTTTCTTAAAGGGACAGGTCACATTTTTTCTAAAGCAATACAAACTAATGCTTTAAGGTCACTTTCTTAATATTATGATTCATGAGATGACGAGGGAGCATGATGCCGGCTTCCCGGCCAATCAGAATGCCGGGCGCTGCGTCATTACACGGCGCCCGGCTTCCAGATTTGCTAGCTTCCTGACCAATCGGGAAGCCGGGCAGCGCGTCATTGCACGCTACCCAGCTTCCTGATTGGCCCGGAAAGTCGGCTCCATGCTCTCTCATCACAAGTGACGAGAGAGCATGGAGCCGTTTCCTGGCCAATCAGGAAACCGGGCAACGTGTAATGATGCACTACCCAGCTTCCTGATACAGGAAGTACTCGTGCTAGGTATCGGAGCATTTGGGCGAGTACGAGTACTAACCCAAATACTCGGTATCGGCACCGATACTAGTATCGGTATCGGTGCATCCCTACTTTAAACTGTGGATCTCCTAATGGAGGAAGGATCTATCACTACTTTTCCCCTACACATGCCCATGAAGTACAACATTGCCTTCCTATAACAGGAGTTTGTTTAGAAGTCGTCTGAAAAAACAAGAACTCTATCCAGGAATGGAAGGCGAAATCAGACGTTCTTTACAGGGACACAAAGATCCTACGATGGCAGATGCATTGCGCTAAGCTGAGGGTTTGTGTTAATCCAGCAAGCTGGCCATGGGGACATCTATAGATGGTTGGAGTGTGCCTGTGTGATGGATATCTGCGGATGCCTCTGGCCAGTGTGAGATTTAGCTTTCAATGGTAGCACATTAATGACGGAGTCCACTCGCTTACCACGTCTTTTAAAGGGCCTCTTTGCCCACTTTTATTAGAACCAACATAAAAGTCCACACCGGTGTTTCCCTCGCAGGGGGTCTTCAAACACAGTACAGCAAATAATGTTTGTCCAAGTCTCACCGACTCCAGGTTGTCACACATACTCCACTTGTAAACGGCTCTCTCTGCCTCCTCGGCTGTCTACGAGGTGCCTCTATCACAGACAGCCACCTGGCTCCCCTCTGCCTTCTGGGTGGAGTCCTCCTGACTTCCGAACATCGCTGTTCCTCTTCCCAGCTGGAGTCCAGAACACTAGCCCGCACACTTCCCATAAGTGCAGTGCACAGGTGTGCAATCAGGTGCTGGCCACTACTAAACAATGGACCCAGGACTGGAGATTTCATCCCTCCCAATTCTCTTAAAAATCTCCCAGTTCCAGGATCCCATGCCAAATCCAGTAATCCTGGGAAGAGCCACAAAGTCAGCTCTTTCCCAGTACAAAACGTGCCTCCTGGAACCGGTTAGCCCCTCTGGCTGAGAGTCCTGGGTGACTACAACCCCCGGTTCTACCGTGGGATTGCCACACAATACCACACCAGCTTGAAAGGCAGTCTACCTAAACCTGAAATTTCTGTGTTTGGTAGTTTGTGGAAAACGTAAGGTACAGCAGCCGCGGCAAAAAGACCTTTAAAAGCCCCAAATACATGCTAAAATTAATGCGATGCGTTGGATCAAGCCAAGAGTATTCTCTCTTCTAGAGTGTAGTGTCGAGTGGAAGGATACTTCTACAAGCGTCCATGTCACCGCTTGGGTAATGTGTACACTTCCCAATGGCTGTTCAGGGACAGGGTCCTATCAGGCTCCACAAGACTACAGTGGGGTCACAAAGAAGGGCGACGAGACCGGTTGGAGGTGGGCTCGGTCTCTAAGTGAAAAAAATACTCTATAAATGTTTTTGGTTTTTAAATTGGTGAATCTGTGGAAGGGGAGGTGAGAAGGAGGGATGGGAGGTGAGGGTAAGTTTGCCCTGAGATGGGCTTTAAATCACCTGACATTTGTTATTTGTCTGGCCAGACCTGGTCATGCTGGGCCATAAGCATCTCTGACTTATAGGTGATTTTAGGCCAACGCATGCTTAATGGATCACCCATTCATGTTATAATGACAGCTATAGGTTACTAAGTCAAGTGTGGAAATGGTCACCCACAAACATCTAGTGATCACCAGGGAAGTGAAGAGGTACAGTTAGGGTGGCATGCCACCCAATACAGACATTTGAGTTATATGGTAGATGTGGGAGAGTTACACCTCCTGCCCGTCTATCTCCAGGGGACATTATTGGTGAAAGCGTATTGGTGTTGAGTTCCCCGGCCTGAACACCTGCTGTGCCAATTATGAGGGACTTCCACCATCCCTGCACTGAGTTCCCGGGTCTGTACACCTGCTGTGCCCATTATGAGGGGCTCCCACCATTCCTGCACTGAGTTCCCGGGTCTGTACACCTGCTGTGTCCATTATGAGGGGCTTCCACCATCCCTGTGCTGAATTTCTAGGTCTGAACACCTGATTTTCCCATTATGAGGGGCTCCCATGATTCCTATGCTGAGATCTTGGGTCTGCATGCTTGCTGTGCCCATTATGAGGGGCTCTCAACATTCCTGCTCTGAGTTCCCAGGTTCAAACACCTACTATTCCCATTATGAGGGGCACCCACCATCCCTGTGCTGAGTTCCTGGGTCAGCTCACCTGCTGTGCCCATTATGAGGGGCTCCCAACCATTCCCGGGTTCAAACACCTATTCCCATTATGGGGGCTCCCACCATGCCTTCTAGATTTTTTTAATCTGTGACGTAAACGAGGGTCTGGAACACCCAAAATTCCCAGGCAGGGCAGGCGTACAGTCAGAGATTATGGCAGAGATCTCAGTGTTGGAGTATCCAAGACATATAAGAATTTAGGGGCTGGCTCAGCCCACCAGGTCCCAACTGTAACTAAAATATCACTTTTAGGTGTCCTGACCCTATAAACCAATACAATCCATACTACTTGACAACACAGCAGTGGACTGTTTCCCATCACCAGCGACACTTCAATTTGCTCTTTACATTTGCCTTGGACTTCCAGGTGATCACTTATAGGTTTTCCACATAAACACTGGACATGTGTAAGAGGATGAGTTTACTGGAGGACAATGTTCCCATTTGCCTGTTTGCACACTTCGCATGATGGCTTCGTAAACTCTCTTAAGCTATTATAATCTTTGTAAGTAGAAGTTTATTGACCGCATGACCCATTCTGGCCAGGATATCCAGAATTACCCATCACATTACAGAGAATTGCGGTATTTCTCATGCTCACTTGAACATTATAGAGAAATTCTTCTCCCAGCCAATGGGACTCTGAGAAGAAGAGTATAAAATGCCACGAGACCTCTGTTTCTGCATCTCTTCCTTCATCCAGTCCACACAGAACTGTCCCATCTCCAACATGAGGGCCCTGTCTGTGTGTTGTGTCCTGCTCACCGTCCTGGTGGTGGCTGAACAAGTTCAAGGAGATGGACAGTTCGTCAAACTGTGCGGCCGAGAGTTCATCAGAGCGGTCATCTACACCTGCGGAGGGTCCAGGTGGAGGCGCTTCCTGGTCGGGAATCCCCAAGACATGGCTGGTAGGTGTTATATAAAAAAGCCTTTCTGAACCAAGGTGCTGTGGCACCCTGGTGCACCTTCTGGCTTCCTAAGAGGGTCCCTTAAAAGTTTGTGGCAGTGGGACTGTGATATGAAGGGGGTCTCATGATGTCAAGGCAGGCTCCAGATGGGGGCTCATGATATGAAGGGGGTCTCATGATGTCAAGGCAGGCTCCTGATATGAAGGGGGCTCATGATGTCAAGGGAGGCATCTGATATGAAGGGGGCTCATGATGTCAAGGCAGGCTCCTGATATGAAGGGGGTCTCATGATGTCAAGGCAGGCTACTGATATGAAGGGGATCTCATGATGTCAAGGGAGGCATCTGATATGAAGGGGGCTCATGATATCAAGGGAGGCATCTGATATGAAGGGGGCTCATGATATCAAGGCAGGCTCCTGATATGAAGGGGATCTCATGATGTCAAGGGAGGCATCTGATATGAAGGGGGCTCATGATGTCAAGGCAGGCTCCTGATATGAAGGGGGCTCATGATGTCAACCCCCCAGTACTTCCAGGTATGGAAGAGCATGTACATTACAGGAGGGTGAGGAGGGACCTGCTCCTGAGAGCTTACACTCTAGTAGGAGGATTTCAGTTCTTTCAATCATGGAGGCTCTTCATCATATGTGCAGGGCCGGATTGACTCTCTCTGCTGCCCTAAGTCCCGGGCCTTGGTTGGCCTCGTGGGAAATCCAGCCCTGCATATGTGAGTGTTACCCAGGATGGTCTGCATGCAAATACATGCCCACTCCTCCCACTCTTGGAAATGCCCACTCCTCCAGGCTAACATCCACCCATCCAGGCATTTGGACATTTGCATAACTCCTCCCAAGAGCCAGGCCACTTCTTGCATCAGAGCTGAGTGCTATTGAGAGGAATACTGAGACAGGGTACTCTGATGTCTAAAATAAAGTATGTAATGAAGATGGAAACGTTTTATTCAAAAATGGTTTTGATTGGCCGGTGGGAGGAACCAGGGAAGGAAAAATATAAGGAGATATAATGTCAGCTTGAATTGTGGCCATGTTGGAGGTACCTAAAGCTGTCCTGATTTTAATCTTGTGAATAGGGGATGTAGGTCCCAAGGAGGGATGTAGGGATGTAGGTGCCATTTATAAAATGACATGAAAAAAATGTATTGAAACTCATCAACCAATCAGATTGTAAGAACCGGTTGGGTTCTGACATTTTCATTGAGGAAGCAGCAACATTTCTTTTTTTTAATCTTTTAACAGAACGGGAGAATTTCTTCGCTTTCCACGGTGCTGACACAAAGGAGAGCGGGCCCCTGCCTACAGACCAGAAGATGACCTCCCAGGTGGGCTATGAGGACCTACAGCAGACCGGATCTCTGGAAGAACTTTGGGGGTCCCAGAAGAACACCGTCCAAGAGAGACGAGACCTGAATGAGCTGCTGACCACGGCCTGCTGTAGGACCGGCTGCAAGAAGAAGGACTTGAACTCACTCTGCTAGGGGGGCCAGCCAATGTCACATGTTAGCTTGGTAACAGTGCGTGTTCAAGTGTCACATGACCCGTCTGTATGACCACACCCACCTCACTGCTGGTACTGATAATTGTGTTTCATCAACGTGTTTGATAATGATTTGTAAAACTCCAGACCTCATTGTCATATCTCTGTACAGGCATTCAATAAATATAATTATTTGCTGGATTACGTTGTAGACTGATGACTTATACAAAGCTGATACATACCGGAGTAACCCATTAAAGAGACCCTGTCCCCAGACCATTTATTTCAACAACACTCCTTCCATAACATATGTGCATTTAACATATTTTTAATACATGCTATTTGGGGATGAGCTCAGATTCTGACCAAACCCGGTCTGAACCTGAGCTCCTCCAAACCTGGAAGTGTTCTGGGGCCACCTGCCCATTGAGTTGCGGGCCGGGACATTCCCTACCCCACAGCTGAACATTCACAAAGGTGTGGGATAACTTTGCTGATGTCATTGACCTTATATGGCCACATAACCTTATATGGTCATTGACATAATATAGCCATGTGGCCATATAATCATTGACCTTATATGGCCACATAACCTTATATGGTCATTGACATAATATAGCCATGTGGCCATATAAGGTCAACAACGGCACTGTATCCTGCTCCTTTTCTTACGTGCAAATGCAGGTGGGGAATACTCTGGTCGCAGCTGATTGGGTGGGTGGCCCCAGGGCACTTCCAGGACCTGGTTTGGTTCAAACAGGAGCTCATCCCTAAATAACATGTATTAAAAAGATGTTAAATGCATATATAATCTTATGGGAAAATTTGTGTTAAAATAAATAGTCTAATTGAGTGGCAGTGGAAGGGGCTTCCTTCCGTGTTTGAAAAAGCTCCTTCCATGTTGGGAGAGGCTGCTTCAATGTTTTTGGAATCTCCATCTGTGTTCAGAGAAGCTTCTTCTATGTTTAGAGAAGCTCCTGCCATGTTTTGAGAAGCTCCTTCCATGTTTGGAGAAGCTCCTTTAATGTTCAGAGTGGCTCCTTTCGTGTTCGGAGAGGCTCCTTCCATATTTGGAGAGGCTCCTTCCATGTTTGGAGAAGCTCCTTCCATGTTTGGAGAAGCTCCTTCCATGTTTGAAAAAGCTCCTTTTGTGTCCAGAGAGGCTTCTTCCATATTTGGAGAGGCTCCTTCCATGTTCGGAGAAGCTCCTTCCATGTTTGGAGAAGCTCCTTCCATGTTCGGAGAGGCTCCTTCCATGTTTGGAGAAGTTCCTTCCATGTTCGGAGAGGCTCCTTCCATGTTTGGAGAAGCTCCTTCCATGTTTGAAAAAGCTCCTTTTGTGTCCAGAGAGGCTTCTTCCATATTTGGAGAGGCTCCTTCCATGTTCGGAGAGGCTCCTTCCATGTTTGGAGAAGCTCCTTCCATGTTCGGAGAGGCTTCTTCCATATTTGGAGAGGCTCCTTCCATGTTCGGAGAGGCTCCTTCCATGTTTGGAGAAGGTCCTTCCATGTTCGGAGAGGCTCCTTCCATGTTTGAAAAAGCTCCTTTTGTGTCCAGAGATGCTTCTTCCATGTTCGGAGAGGCTCCTTCCATGTTTGGAGAAGCTCCTTTCATGTTTGCACAGGCTCCTTTCATGTTTGAAAAAGCTCCTTCCATGTCTATAGAGGCTCCTTAAATGTTTGGAGAAGCTCCTTCTGTGTTCGGAGAGGCTCCTTCCATGTTCTATGGCTTCTTTCCATGTTCTGTGTTCAGACCGGATTTGTTCTGAACCTGAGCTAATCCCTAATGTCCTTTACCTCCATTGAATAGACATCCAAAAGCCCTGAGACTGCCATTGGGCGCCGCCATGTTGGATGTGCTATCAGCCGCTCACAGTGTGCAGTAAAAACAGTGGAAGCAATGTCAGTCCAGGAGCGGAGCCGCTACAACTATGTAAGACTGAAGGGAAGGCCGGAGTTCAGCAGTCAGGTAACATCGGAGTATAGATCTCTAGAATCACCAAGCAACCAGCAAATGACGGATGGAATGTATGGACAGTTAATATTTACTTGCAGTCAAAGTGAAAGATGAGTGTAAACACATCATACATTTCCTGTAGCAAAGGTCTCGACCACAGGAAGTATTGACACAGGTATTAATGTGAGCAGTGATAGATTGCGGGGAATTATATTGGGGATTGGTAGAACGTGACATAATTCATTCCGCACTTTCACATTACACAAAGCAGCCACCGACTCGGACAAAGTCCCGTGCAAACGCTGAACTGCTGCCAAAGAACATTTCACACCGAGGATTTCCTCTCCTCCTGTTGGGGCTGCGAGACCAGAACCCATCAGTGTCCTATTGCTCATTGCTTAATCCCTGATGGAGGGGGATTCCTGAGCCCCGAAATGCGTTGGCTGTGGACACCATCTTGAGATTTGTGGAGCCAATCTTTGTGGACTCTTCAGATGATGACCTGGCGCTCGTTTTTAGTCTTGATATGGATTTCTCATTCTGGGTGGCCCCTGCCTCTGGAGCCCCCCCCCCTCGTTTTGTGACGAGCTGGCAGAACTAAGCCATCAGGCCCCAACATTGCTTCCATGCAAATGGAGAAAGTTTTTGATCCAGCGCCTCATCTCCACCCCCCCAGCTTGTGATTGGTCACTGAAGGAGAGGCAGCAGTCTAATGAACTCATCTGTCACTCTGCTTTCCCCTTCTTTCAGCATGTTTGACCCTTGTTTGCACTTGAGCACAACTGACTGACTCCATTGCTGCCCCTTCCTTTCCCGGGCTGAGCTCTGCTCTAGGGACTGGAGGAGGCTGATGCTGGGGGTTAAATTCAGGAATGTACACTAGATACCTTTAAAAATACACTTAATGACGTGTTGGGTTGGTGTTTATGTGTCTGAAGTTCACCTATAAGGCCCGGTGCAGACCTCCGCAATCCGGGATCGCGCGGTCCTGCACAATGCAGGCCGGTATTTGCCGCGCGGCCCCATTGATTTCAATAGGGTGACATCCGCATGGCAATCGCAGAAAAAAGGTACATGTCACAAGGGGGGTGCGGCCATTGGAGCGGTGACACCATTGGAGGGGTGACACCAAAATGACTCGCAGTCATTTTGGTGTCACCCCCCTCAGAAAAGTCGGGCGCTCGGTCATGGACCGAACGCCCAACAGTGTCAGGAGAGAGGAGGGGACCCGGCAGGCATACCTCATCCCGCCGGGTGAATGTCCCCTCCTCTCTCTGCCGGCGTCCATCACCAAGATGGCCGCCGGCAGGTATCAGAATACTGCCGCGCGTGCGCGATGACGTCATCGCGCACGCGCGTGGTGACGTCACGCAAATGCGCAGTGACGTCTCGGCGGGGGTGACACTTGGTTACCGCTCCGGGTGTCACCCAGCCTCCGGACGCCCCTGCATGTTCCATTTTTTTTTGTGATTTACGATGCGCGGCTGTTTTAGCACGTTCCGCCCGGCGCGACTTGGGGGCCATTAGAAAATAATGCCACCCACAGCGCGATCGGTTCACACCTTGGCGACTCCTGACCGCGCGGCAATCCGCACGGAATCGTGCACGAGGTGTCGCGTAGGTGTCCTCTGGCCCTAAGACCAGGATGGACAGTTCACAATGGGAGAGGGAATGAATGTGCACCTAGCAAGCTATTATAAGCACGTGTCATGGAGAGGACGTTGTGGTACACAGAGAGTTCCGGAACAGGACAGCAGTGAGCTGCTCTAGGATTGGATTACATGCACCTTGTTCATTCTGTGTCCATATCTCAATCAAAGCCATTTAGAGGAAAGGGTTGTATCCTAAAAAGACAAACAAGGAGGAGGGGCTGCTCCGATACCGTATACTCCCAAGTCACTGCTGGCATTATGAGGATACCAAGTTGTAGATCAAGCTTAGTTACAAATCTGAACCCCTTCACTGAAAACACGGATTAAAGACACAGAAACTTGTTTTTTTAATTCAAAACTTTTTTTTTACTGTCGTTTCTTGCAAACTTTAACAAAATAAATATGTTTTATACAAAAAAGAAGAAAGGCAAAAACAGCAGATATCTGCAATTGTCATCATCTGGTTAAATCTGAACACGATCTACTTTAAAGGTAGGCAGAGTGACTGATCACCACCCATCATGGAACTACAACCCCAGCATGCACTGCGGTGATGAGGCCGGTACAGATTGTAGCACAACGGCATCTGTAAACAGCATCACAAACCAGCCCTGTCACATCTCGTGCTGTCACTTGTAGTTCCACAACAGCTAGGAAAACTAGAAGGGAAAGCTGGTACAGTATTTCGGTTTTGCTGGGAGGATTGACTTGTCTGCTGGCTACAGTTCCATCTCTCTGGGACTAAAGCAATGAGATTGGTGCGTTTGCTTTTCTAGCACCTTCCACCGTTGTGTGTTTGTGGGAAGACGCTTAGGGTTCATTCAGATGGCCGTACAGGTCCATGAACGCCCGTAAAGACCCGATCCCGGAAGGGACAGGTGCTGAGTGTAATTGTGCGCAGCAGCCTGTTCTTCCCTATAGGAGCAGATGGGTGAATGCAATTACACACGGTCATGCGCAGATACCCGAACCTGCACATGCGTGCGGGTCCAGTTGCCCACACTTGGACCCATATGGAAGAACAGGCCGCAGCATACAGTTACACGCAGCACCTGTCCCTTCCGCGATGAGGTCTTTGTACAGGCGTGCACGCTATATGGACGTGCACGCCCGTCTGGATGAGCCCTTATAGTGTAGTAGTTAGGGATGCACTGATACTAGTATTGGTACCGATACCAAGTATTTGGCCTAGTACTCGTACTCGCCCTAATGCTCCAATACCGGAACTTCCGGTCACAGGAAGATTCTGACCAGCAGTGCCGTAGGGGAACATGGAGCCAGCTTCCCGGGCCATCAAGAAGCCGGGCGGCGAGTAATGACCTGCCTCCCGGCTCCATCCTGATTGGCTGGGAAGCTGGTTTCTCGGGCCAATCACACTCAAGCCGGCCAAACAAGATAGAGCCGGCTTCCCAGGCAATCAAGAAGCCGGGCGGCAAGTAATGACCTGCCTCCCTGCTAATTGGCTGGGAAGCTGTTTTCCCGGGCCAATCACACCCAAGCCGGCCAAACAACATAGAGCCGGCTTCTCGGGCAATCAAGAAGCCGGGCGGCGAGTAATGACCTGCCTCCCGGCTCCATGCTGATTGGCTGGGAAGCTGGTTTCCCGGGCCATACAACATGGAGCCGGCTTTTCGGGCAATCAGGAAGCCGGGCGGCACGTCATTACCCGTCGCCCGGCTTCCTGATTGCCCTGGAAGCCGGCTCCATACAAGCGGAAGCAACGGTATCGGTACTCAGTATCGGCAAGTACCAAAAGAAAAATATTGGTACTCGTACATGATACTGAAAAACCGATATTGGTGCTTCCTTAGTAGTAGCTATAGTCCGTTATTGGTTGATAGGGTGAGCTAGGCTGGGAAGGATTACTTACGTTGGGAGGTGGCCAGAACCTCTACTAAAAAAACCTGTGTAGAATATATCTCCAAGCAGGCCTTAGGTGTGTGAGTGGTCACTCTGGATGCCTACGGGGGAGGCCCATAGGACCTTCTCAGTTTCCAGGTGGTGTGGAAGCAAATACAAAGAAAGAAAGACCCCTTTCCTTTATTTTTGGGGTAGTTTGGCCAAGGAGTCTACGGGTTCGGCTCTTGAAAGAAGAGAAGTGAGGCTGCGATCTCAATAAGAAAATTCTTTATTGGAGAGAAACTTCTAGACACAATCACCATATTTCAAGAGTCATCCAGTCACTTCTTCAGGGCTTGTGCTGTGGCAGCTGGGCTCAAAAGTGGCCAACAGGAGACAAAGGACTAGTCACCAGTATTACCTGCAGCTGATATTCTCCCCGTTACAGATTCACCATGACCATGTTCTGCACAGTGTCTGGGTGTGCAGGCAGCCATCTTGTCAGGGCTTTGCTTCCTGATATCAGTACTGCCCCGCGGTGGTTGGTGACCTGATGACTAGTGGAGGTATAATAAAGCAGCAGCGGAGGTGGAGGAAGCACAGATCCGCAGAAAGGATGAAGGAGCAGGGAGATCCTTGCACTGCAATTTCTCAGGTGTAGCTTCCTCTCCAGCAAGCAGAACAGCAGCGACATCACCAAGGCTCACTGTGGTGGGACTAGAAGTCAGAGGCAGCAGGGCCTTAGATGATCTCACACTGCAGATACATATACGAGGCTACAGAAGGAGTCACCTGCCTGCAAGAACTGTTCAAACACCAAATCCTGAAGAATCGGCCTGACACACCATGACATGCAATGTGTGGATTGTGTCTATATGTCCATCTATAATAAAGCTTTTTCATATTGAGATCCCAGTCTTACTTCTCTTCTTTTGAGAATGGAAATCTGGCCAAATGACCCCCCGGGAGTGACTTTTTCCTACTTAGTATGTGAAAACTTCGACATCGTGGCCCTTGTCAGAAGGAATGGAGCCTCAAACACCCACAGGAAGTTCTCATTGCTGGAGTCTCTGAGACAGCTAACAAGCTGAGTGGTGAACAGTGCCCACCCAAATGTGGAATACCAGTTTTCATGAGTCATGATTTCATATAACCAGGTCACCCATCCTCCCTGCAGTGCCCCCCACTTCTGCCTACTCGTAGTACACGGCGTAGACATTGGCCAGAGCAAACAGGGAGCTGTTCTTGAAGGTGTAGGAGGCAAACGTGTCGTTAGCTGGGTCCCAGATACAGCGGCTGCCCACACGCATGCTCTGATCGTTCAGCTGTCCGATGTAGATGAGAACGATTATTTTATATCGCGGGATCATCAGGTCCTTCACTCTGGCTTTAACTACCTGGAAGTCAAAGAAACCAGAGCTTCTATAATACGGATGAAAAGGAAGACGCCTGGCAAAGCATCCATCCCAACACACACCCCACCCCCTGGATTGTCACTGCCCCTGGAGGTTTTGGAGGTTGACTGCAACCTCTAAGGGGCTGATTTATAAAGCCGTGATATGGCCGTGCTAGGGCCACACTGCTGTGCTTGTTTTGGAAACAAGTGAAGCCCTGCTCAAATTGTTTAATAGGGGAAGAAAATACAAATGTGGGAAGTGATCTCATGGTCCCGTGACCTGCTAAAGTCAGGTGACCACTCTCTCCACCAATCACAGAGTGTTAATCTGCAATGCTGGCAGGCTCCGCACTACATTCTGCAATTTAAGTGGTAGCATGCAGAGCGTAGATTGGATGCGGGAACTGCTCTCCCGTATAACCAGACCCCTTGGGGGTGTCTGAATCCGGCTCACTGCCCCGAAGAGACACGGGAATGGATGAATGAATTGGACTTCCAGCGTGAGTCTCACCTCAGAAATTGTCTTTGTCATCTGTCTACATAACTCGGCTTCATACTTCTCCTCCTGAAGATAACTGGTCAGGACGTCCTTCAGAATATTATTCACTGTGGCTACAGGAAAGCGTCTCCCGGGGACTGCGGCAGAAAAATCATTCATAACTCATTAAGAGAACCTGTCATCAACCACCGCAGGTAAACGCACAGAAAAATCAAGTATTTGTAATAATTACTTACAGTGTGTTTCCCTTTCAGACATTTTTACTGACTTGCACTTTGCCTCTGGACTTGCTAGAAAATTTGACTTCTCCAGGAAGAGTCAGTTACCTAGCTCCGCCCCCTCCCTCAAGTCACAGCCCTCTCCTCTTCTGGGAGTGTGTCATTACTGACTTTGCTGGCCCAGCTCCTCACCTATGTCCCCAAAATCTGGGACTGTTGGGGTGTGTACCCATGAGATATTTGCCCTGGCCCCCTTTTATGTACTAGTACTATAGAGTGTCACTTGAGTGACACCTATACTTGAGAGAGTCTGCTGGGGCTGCTGACATCACATCCAAGATGGCGGCACCCAGCAGAGGCCCCAGGTCTTTTATAGGTGAATGAAATGCATAAAATACAATACATACACATAGAATCTTATAGAAAGATTGATATTGAAATGAATCGTTGGATGACAGGGTCTCTTTGTACGTATATACATATGTGTTCCCCCTTTTCAAGAATCAACAGTCGGGAAAGTTGGAAACTTTTATTATTGCTGGAAAAAATCACCGTCTCTATCTGTCCTGGTGACAACTGACTGAGACAAAAAGGGTGATGGGAAAGCGAAAATGTTACAGTTGTCACCAGAACAGGAATGGAGAGGAAACCTTCCAATGGGGACACCTGTGCAGGTAACAGCATTTTAATGGCTTTGCCCCATCTGCCCTGCTCATGCAAGGACAGTTTTGTGTGGGCAGAGTTGAGAACTCTTAAGGGAAAACCTCAGCAGGGACCCCCGAGAGATATAAGATACTGACAAGCACCAGTGCCGACCTCAAGCCAAGCATTCTGGGTTCATTGGGGTAGACGGAGCCTGTAAGTCCAGATGAGTATGTTCATACCTAACTGATATGTATTTTCCATCTGCACGGCCGGACGCTGGACGTCATCGTGGTGTCCCGGTTCGTCGATGTAAGACACCGTGCTCAAAGAGCTGCAATAACACAGATCACATGATGATTAGTCATAGAGCTGGCACCCGATTGTAGAGAAATCTTACCATGTGGCCATAAATAGGAGTTGTACAAATTGGATGGAACGCTGGAACCAATGGGAGCATCCGTTATGTGGGCGGAGTTCTACCCTATGAATTTACTAGAAACCTTTGATGTTGACACAATGTGCCATCATGGCCGGCTACAATTAGACCCAATGGGGCTAATTTATACACCTCCCACCCAACCATATGGTGGGTAGTGATGGGCTCGGGCGTGTTCGCAGCTCCACGTGCCGAGCACGCCGGGAAGCTGACAGCGCGCAGCGCCAATCACAGGTACTGAGACATGTTCCGGGTCCGCAGCTGCAGAGATCGGGAAATGTCTCAGTGCCTGTGATTGGCGCTGCGCGCTGTCAGCTTCCTGGCGGGCTCGGCACATGGAGCTGCGAACACGCCCGAGCCCATCACTAATGGTGGGCAAATGCCGTTTGCATGGTGCTCCATCTAGTGGCAGGAATGCCATGCGAACGGCCAGGGGTGTCCCTACACTTTTCGCCGGGGGCGGGGTTTGTAGTGGTGCACATTACCTGGGGGGGTAATTGGTGTGGGGCCTGGGGTGCATGGTAACAGCGGCTCTATTCGGTGTCCCGTCCAGCTCACTGACATGACGTGCTTGCCGGGACCTAGGCAGGACATCACCCAGATTGTCCTGCTCGGCTCCTGGCAACCAGTGGCAGGCAGAGTATCACAGGTTGCTAAGAGCTCCTAGCAACCTGCGACGCTCTGCGCCGTACCGCTGACTCTGTCCTAGCTCACCGACGTCACTGTTTGCCAGGTGCTGACCGGGACGCCAGCCAGATCATCCTGCTCAGCTCCTGACAACCAATGATGTCAGTGAGTGGGCGGGACTCTGGGCAGAGCATCAAAGATTGCTAAGAGCTCTTAGCAACCTGGGACACTCTGGCCCCCATGTGACCCAATGAGATGCCGCCTCAGGATGTAGGCACATGTCTGTGAACGGCATGCGCCTACATCCTGTACAGATCATAGAGGTCTATCTGCACAAAATCCAGGACTGTTTGGGGGCAGAGTTGGAACGGTGTACCCATAAGATATTTGCCCTTGCCCCCCAGTTACCCAAACTTGTCCCCTTATCTGAAAAGCCACCACCCTTCCTCCTTGGTGAGCCACGTATAATATGGACAGAAGGCTTGGCCTGCTCACTCTCTAGATTCTTTGGGTTTGTGCAGGTTGTCCCTGGGTTTCACTTCATGGCTCCCCAGTGACGAGACGCTTCCTCTCTTCTTCAGCAGGCGGGCTGCCTTGTCCTTCGCGGCGTCCGACATGTCTGCGGAAAGTGACAATGACACCTGTCAGATCCCGGGAATAAAACAACACAAACTGATGATCTGAATGAATGGGGCCGATGTATAAAACGTCCGCCCGGCGTATAGCTGAGCGAATGCCGTTCACATGTCATTACTGCCACTAGATGGAGCTGAGGAGCAGAGGAGATTCCGGCGCTCCTCGGCTCCATCTAGTGGTCATAATGTGCAACAGCCATGCACACGGGAGTCACGGCACATTATGGCCACTAGGTGGAGCCGAGGAGCGCTGGAATTACCTCTGCTCCTCAGCTCCATCTAGTGGTCAGATTGTCATACAACGGCGGACGCTGGGTGGACGTTTTGTACATCAGCCCCGGAGTGTATCTAAAGCCAATACAGTCGGTCACATTGACCAGGACTTGCTCTGTCATGTTGAAGACAGTTTGCATCTCATCCAAGCAGCTTCTTCAGATTCTAATGGGTGCCAGGAACGCAGCATTTCCATCCACACAGGCAGCACAGACATCCCAATGCAGGGGTGGGGCCGCCCCACCAGGCTGTGCTTTAACTACAAATCCCAGCATGCACCGGTCTCAGGGAGTCATGCCTGTAACTGGCAGTCTTGCAATGGCTCATGGGATTTGTAGTTCCACAACTGCTGGAGGGCCGAAGTTATCTACCCATGTGGAGATGGTCAGAGACTGCAGACATGATACAGGGGATGGTCAGAGACTGCAGACATGATACAGGAGATGGTCAGAGACTGCAGACATGATACAAGAGATGGTCCTCAGGTTGGTCCCCGGTGGCCCCCCCATTGGTGGACGGTGATGTCATCATTGCCCCCATAGGTCTCTATAGAGAGTACAGCGGCACCAGACACTGGGGATCGGTGACACGTCTCATGGAGTGGATGACGGAGGAGGAAGCCGGGATTGTCTTTGTGTCCGCTCACCCCGGGGCAATGTGACACCACAGCAGCCCGTCTCCTGGATACCCCCCCTCCCCCTCCATCGCCACAAACACACTGGCACCGGCCCGCCATTGATAGATCCCCTGCCATTAACCCTTCCATGTTTGCCCCTTCGCTTCATGCGGCAAATTGAAAGAATGGCTTTTTTTTAAAATTGTCATATAACACACTTCCTTTTCTAGGGTGACAACCAGGTCCGGGCCCGGGCGGTAGGCAGAAAAGGCAGCCGCCCTGGGCAAAAAAAAAACACAGAACCTGCAACCTAAGCTGCTGTAATTCACAATTCTTTGGCTCTCTTGCCATGGGTGGACTTTGTCCTGATACTGGTGACAACGCTCACACACTGTACTCTATAGAGGGGCAGCGTTGCCACCCTAAAACAGGACTACAGAACAATGCCAGGTATTTTACTCTGCAATACTCAGGCATAATATACCCCAGATATAGGTATGGGGTTAGGAAGGTGACAGCTTGGTGACCAGTAGAGCACGCTGGGCCTTGTAGTCCTCCCCTTAGGCCGGACATTGTATATGAGGAGGAGATGGGACTGAGAGGAGTTTACCTGCTGCACGCGATCACTCCACGGATCCAGGTCAGCGTTCCGTTGCCCTGGCAACCAGGCAGCAGAGGAGAGGGCGGGACCTTCTCCCTGAGGCTGGCGAACCACAGGCAGGAAGCCGAGCGGTGACGTCACTGAGGCTAACTCATCGAACTCTCCAATTACGTTCGAGAGAACAGCGGCCATGTTGGCTGCCTCTCTCAGGCTGAGGCTTGGAACGCAACGCGGAAGTGAGATGCGGTTCATAAAGCGGAAGTAGGAGAGCTGGCCCCTTTGGCTTTTGCGGTTACTGTGTACGGTGCGTGGTCGGCGAGGAGCTATGTGTGAGGCGGTAAGTGGCGGCTTAACTCTTTGTACCCCGGGGAAATAGCCTTCTTTTGTCCAGGGGCTCGGTGCGGTACCCCATAGCAAGCGGGCAGGTTTACCTCACTGTGTATGACACCTGGTTGCTATGGGTTACCGACCAGGTACTGTGCAAGAGGTATCGCAGGCCCTTATGATCTGTCGCCATGGTGATTTGACTTTCTCGGGTGCGTTTTGTGATGAAAGGAACCAATTGTGACCTTTAATGTAAATCTCAATGAAGTCTGTAGGAGGATCAATTCTCTCATAGGTGGATTTGTCAAAGCTAAACTGAAAATGGAATTTGGTTGCCATGGGCTCTGCTCCTGTACACATGGGGGGGGGGGGGG